AGAAGAATGCTTTATTTTGAAAGTAATAGCCAAAATCTTCAGCAAAAATGGCTCCATTCATGGAGAACAAGGGATAAGTCAAGGCAAAATATAAGGTTAAATGCCTTACAATACGCAGAGTGAAAGGTTTACAGGATATCTACATCTGTAATGGTGACAGGTTGCCTTTGAAATTCTCCATTTCCGTTTTTTCACACGTGAGGGAGCATATGCTTTGGCCATCAACGCACACATTTAAGTAGGCTTATCCGGTCGTTGGTGCATTTCTGCAAGTACGAGGCAGAGGGAAAAAACATTCCTTATTTTTAAAGTAGCTATCTGAAATGTTCAGCAAAAAGATGGCTCCATTCGCGGAGAGCAAAGGATAAGCTAAGGTAAAATGTCATCGAGTACTCACAGTTTAAATGGTTATAAAATATCCACATCTCTTATGTGCACAGATTGGCTTTCAACTTCTGAATTTCCGTTTTCTCGCATAAGAGGTAGCGCGCTACGAATGGGAGCACAGTGTGCTAATACGCCGAGGTACGGCAAGATATGACGGAAGCTTCGGCGCATAGTACGGGTAGACATCACAGCTATTAGTTCAGAGTGGAGAGAGTGAGCGGCCCCACTAAGGACGCGATCAGCAAATTGTTTGACCGCCTTAAAGTGTCACTGTATTATAATGTCAGGTAAAAAAAGACAGGAATTTGTTGGTCGTCCCAGGGTTAAACAAATACCAAGCACACTGCGTCTAAAGCTGTTTGTGACCCTACCTTAGGGCATTGGATATGCATAAATTTGACATAAGTTCAGGTTAACGTTAACCATGAGAGACATTTGGGCGTCATGTGCCTCCCCCCCTTCCTATGGAATAGTGAGTTAATATCTTGGCGCATATGCAAACAGTTGCTCCCCTAGCAAGAAATGTCCCCTTGCAGACACTTTATTCGATGTGCGTGACCGATAATGGGAGTGTAAAATGCATATCGGGGGCGTCGAGGTGTCCGTTTTTTATGACCCCGTGCTGTAACATTGGACATAAAATGTAGTAACTCTCATTCATGGGGGTCATTTTTTTCCGTCTTTTAACACGTACAGGCTGTACATATAGGTTTCGGAATCGACCGCTTGTGTGCGCTGTTAACGCCTCAGTGCTGTGAATTCTATGCAGGTTTGACAACTTCTCCAAAGACAATTATTATTCGGAGCAGGCGGGCAGATCCAACAGGCCTATATAAAATTAGCAGAAATAACAGAAAAACTTCCTTAACAAAAAAGTTGGCCTGTTATATTAAGATGACCTGTTTAATTATGAAATGTCGTCAGTAATTTAGTATGAATTTTCCGCGACATTGCACAATTCAAGTCAACATACCATTCCAAATACAGTCTCTAAATAATATCAATGCTGCATTTCTCAATTATTGAATTTTGTCCATGTATTTGGTATGAAAGTGAGCTTATTTTACGGTTATACATATTGACGTTGTCACTTATCATACTTACAGCCTAGGTTTTGAAAGTTCAGCTTTTTAATATCCTGAGAAATTAATTTCTGTTCGCGATATATATCAGTATATGTAAGGTCTACAGGCGAAGACCGAAATTGTAAGTGTATATTTGCGTTGAAACCCGTCAACCCCTGTGAAAATATACACCTGCTGACATCGGACAGTTTGTAGCTGTATAAATTGTCC